CATCTGGATGGCGCCTGGTGGTTCCTGCGCCGGCGAGGTGAGCAGCAGGGGGTGTGGGCAGGGGAGAGGGCATGTGGCAGGGGCCTTGGGATAGGCCAGCTCACTCCGCCCCTGCTCCCTCCTGCTGCCCCTCCAGGGTTGTGTCTGACCACTGCTACCCGTTCTCGGGCCCGGAGAAGACGGAGGCAGGCCCCACGCCCCGCTGCATGATGCACACCCGGGCCACGGGTCGGGGCAAGCGCCAGGCCACTGCCCGCTGCCCCAATCACCACGCCCATGCCAATGACATCTACCAGGTCACGCCTGCCTACCGCCTCGGCTCCAGTGTAAGTCTGCGCTTGGGCGAGGGGCAGGGGAAGAGAGCAGGAAGGCCGGGGCCTCAGCCCCTAATGGATACTCTCCTCCCCGCCTCCCACGCTGCAGGAGACGGAGATCATGAAGGAGCTGATGGAGAACGGCCCTGTCCAAGGTGAGTGTCCTTCGTCCTGCCCCCTGATCCCACAGGGCCCAGCAGCACACGTGTTCTGTACAGCACTGAGCAGCAGGTCCACTGGGGCCGGACGTGGGGAGACCATGTCCCCTCCCCATGGGCAGCACCTGGTAGGAGAGGCTGCGGGCCGGGGTGCGCATCTCCACTCGGGCTTCGGTGCCTGTGCTGACGGCTGAGCTGGCCCCACCTTGCCCTCTGCCCACAGCCCTCATGGAGGTGCACGAGGACTTCTTCCTGTACCAGGGCGGCATCTACAGCCACACCCCGGTGAGCCTCGGGAGGCCAGAGCGATACCGCCGGCACGGAACCCATTCGGTCAAGATCACAGGGTGAGGGGCTCTGGGGGACAGAGGGGTTGGGGGCCGCCGAGCTTACACTGGGGGCTCTGAGCCTGTCCAGAATCCAGACCATCTCTCTGCAAAGCCCTGTTTCAAAGAGGAGGAAACCCAGACTCCAAACGAGGAAGGACTTAGCCTAGTCACACCAAGAGTTGGTGCCTTTCAAGGTTTCAAGGGACTGCTCCTTCCTTATGGGGGGAGATAGAGTAAGTCCAGTGCAATAGACAAGGATTCAGGAGTGGCTAGTCTCTCCCCATCTCAGCACCTGCTCAGCTCTGCCCGACAGGGACTCACTCCCCAGCCTTCAGTGTCTCCACCTGAGATAACAGGAGGCGTCAGAGTGACTGAGGTCGGTTGTCCAACCAATGACAGCTCTTGGCCGTGGAGTTTGGGGCCTCTAGGGCACCCACATTCGCCGAGTCTCTTCCTTCTGGTCCCTGGCACCCACTCCTCCTCGGCTCCCCAAGTGAGGAAGGAGGGCAGGCGGAAGGGTGAGGTTCCAGAGAAATGGCCCACAGAATGGGGGTCCCTGGAGGACGGAGGCCCACATCCCCCCTGTTCTGCACGCCCCTCAGTTATCCCTCTTGTGCCTTCCCCCACACTGGGCACAGGCACACAGACTTAGAGGGAGACCGAGGGAGGTGCAGACAGGACAGAGACCTGCCCAAGTCCTAAGGGTGTACCCACGTGACCGAAGGCAGCAGGGCCTGGATAGGGAATGCCTGGGGGTGCAGCCCCTGAACGCAGGTGGAATCAGCTCCCTTGCTCCTGCCCGGTCTGGCCCGCAGGTGGGGAGAGGAGGCACTACCTGATGGAAGGACGCTCAAATACTGGGTGAGTCCCTGCGCTGCGGGCCCTGCAGCCGCTGTCCCCTCCCCCGCCTCCGCTTCTCCATGCCCTGCTCATGCGCCTCCTCATTCCCAGACCGCAGCCAACTCGTGGGGCCCAGCCTGGGGCGAGAAGGGCCACTTCCGCATCGTGCGTGGAGCCAACGAGTGTGACATCGAGAGCTTCGTGCTGGGGGTCTGGGGCCGTGTGGGCATGGAGGACATGGGTCACCACTGAGGCTGTGGCCACCATGCCAGGCCAGCCGGCAGAAGAGCCCCCTGTGGGGTGGTGCCCCTGCCCCACCCTCCTGCCTGGTAGATCGTGCTCCGGACACAGGCCGACACCAGGGGCCTAATCCTCGCGGGTTCTGCTGACACAGCGCCCGGCTGGGAGCCGAGGGCAGGCGAGGCTGGTGGAGCCCCCAGACCGCCCAGCGGGTATGGGACAGAGCCTGGCCGGGAGAACCAGCCTGCAGACCCCAGGCCCTGCACCCCCACGCAAGACCACTGAAGCCAGGACACTACCAAGTGTCCAGCCCATCCCACCCCTGTACTCTTATTCTCCAAAGATATTTATTTTTTTCACTGTTTTAAAATAAAGACAAACTATTGGTAACTTTAATAACTTGGAGCTTCAGGCCAGAGTTGGGTGGCACATGGTTAGGAAGCAGAAAGGACGGCCTGAGGTCGCGCTGGTTGGCAGTGGTGTGTGGACTGGACATCTCCGTCTCCACTCAGCCCTCGCTGTCAGCGGCCCTGGGCACTGAACCTCTCGGAGGTAGACCATGGATGGCATGACCTTTGACCCTCAGAGAGACATGAGCTCCTGGGAACCACCTTTCAGACGCTGACTCGGCACCGCCCGAGCGGGGCAGACAACCCCCCAATCAGCAGAACTGGCGCCAGTGCCCAGCAGGCAAGGGGGGCACAGCCCCACAGAAGCTGAGCCTCTGTCTCCGCAGATCAGCCTCTCCAAGCCCCCCAGGCGAGGCCCCCTCTCCTTCCCTGGGCTGAGCTGAGCCTGCCTCTCCAAGCCCTCTCTCCACCCCACCTTCCCAGGCTCCCAGGCTCAGCCTGGCTTTCAAGGCCATGAGGACCCGCCTGGCCAGCATCCTCACCAGCATCTTCACCCTGTGCCCAGGCAACTCCGGAGTCCTCGCCGCTCCTCAGATGTCCAGTACAATGCAGACCACTGGGCATTTGCACATGCTATTTCCCGGGTCCAGAGACCTTCCATTCTACCACCCTTTGTCCCTGCCCCACTCCCATTTCAAAGCCAGCCCCAGGTTTCCTTCATCCAGACAACACCTGTGGAGGACAACAGATGCGTCCCCAAACTGCCCTAACCCCACCTAGCGTGGCTTACACACCCCTCCCTGGACTCACCTGCACCCTGCCCTTTCACCCTGGATTTCACTCCTCTGGGCGTCTACTTACCTCCTCGGTTGGGCTCTAGTCCTCTGAGGGCAGTGGTTCGTGAGTGGGTCCTGGTACCCACACGGAGACCCTGGCGTACAGTGGCATTCTAGTTAGTGAAACGGTTGAGTGGACATGACTCATTCTCCTCCACTTGCCTCGAGACCTGGACCCCTGCCCATCCCTCTAAGCACAGATGTCAGTGGGGAGCCCAGGGAGGCTGTGCCTGGGCGGAGGCTCCCACAGCAAGGATCTTCCTCCCCCACCCCGAGGCCAGTCACCAAGGGGAGGCGAGGTCCCTGGTGGGCAGACCCTCAGGAGGGACCGGAGTCCCCTGGCCTTTTGGGCATCACCTGAAAGGAATGTGTGGCCCGATAAGGGGCCGCCTTTGTCTCATTTCCTGTTTGCCAGGACGTCCCGAACTTGGCTGCCTGGCGGCCAGCCCATCCCCAAGGAGTCAAGGCCAGTCAGTGGCCCTGGGGACCGGGAGGGGCGGGGACACCCACCAGGGAATGCGGGGGCTGCCGCTCACCATCGCCTTGGGCTGCAGCCGCCAGGACGCACTGCTGCTCCCACCGGAGGAGGGGAAAACCCTGTCCAGGGGCGGCTTGGCCAGCGGCGAGGCTGGAATTTTCTACAAGGACCTTTGGCGGAAGGAGAGGGTAGTAAGGGTGCAGCCAGGTTGGAGGCTGGGGGCCGGCCCTGCGGACCCTGGGGGAGTCAGCCCCGCCCTTCCTTAGTCCTTCCCCTGGCGAGGGAGCCCCAGCCCGCCCAGCCCTGGAGTGGAGAGGGTTCGGGTGGGACTGTGGAGGGCTTGGCCTGCCTGAGTGACCTTGCCTGTCACCCTTGGTTCTCTGATGTTAACAACAGACGGACGTGTTGTTAGAAAGAACCTGGCAAACATCAAACCGCACCCCGCCCAGCCAAATAACTGCCCTTGAGCCGATCCATAAGAAACCCCAGCACCTCGTCCCTGCTGGGCTGTGTCCTGAGCTATTTAGTCCCTTCCTCCCTCAGGGCCTAGGGCCTGGGCCATTAGACACGCCTGGGTTTGAACCCTGCTCCGTTCGCTCCACACTGGCGAGGTAATGCTGCCTCTCAGAGCCTGTCTTAGTGGGGATACCAGTACAGTCCTGGACACTGAAGAAGGGGGCCACGCCCTGACTGGTGTGGCTCAGTGGTAAAGCATAGGCCCGTACACCGGAGGGTCGAGGGTTCGATTCCCAGTCAAAGCCCCAGTCAGGGGCCTGTGTGGGAGGCAACCAATCGATGTGTCTCTCTCACATCCATGTCTCCCCGCTACCCCTTTCTCCCTCCTCTCTTCCGCTCTCTCTCTCTCTCTTAAAAAAAAAAAAATCAATGGGAAAAATATCCTCGGGTGAGGATGAACAACAAAAAATAAGAAAATAAATAAAAATAGAGGAAGGGGGCTACGTCCTGAGAAATTCACTAGGTAATTTCGTGATTGTGCGATCACAGAGCGCACTTACAGAAGCCGGCGTGGTCTAGCCTGGTGCACGCCTGGGCGATAAGGCGCAGCCTATTGCTCTAGGCCACAGACCTGTACAGCGCGTTGCTGCGCAAAACAACACGAGATTGGATCAAGCCCAAAAGAAAATGGTGCAATCGAGAGACCCGGTAAATGAGACGAGGCTCCTTTAACACAGCGACTGTTTGACAGCAAACACTGCTACGCGTAGAAAGAGTACACTTTAAAGTAAGGCTAAAAAGCACAGTGTAGCAAACACATGAAGCAGCCGCATAGTCCTTTATTACCCTCATCAGGTATTACGTACCGTCTGCGATTCTATATGTACACTTTCACAGGAGTGACAGTGCGGTCGGTTTATTTACACCAGCATCACCACAAACCCATTACGACAGCGATGACGCCAGGACAGCTGTGCCATCCCTCGGTGGTAGGAGCTGTTCGGCTCCTCTGTAATTTATGGGACCACCGTCACGTATGCGGCCGTTGGTGACTGGGACATCGGGATGTGACTGTACGCACCTCCCGGAGTTGTTGGGAGGATTGCACGAGACACAGCACGCTGAGCATTTAGCTCCGCGCTTGGAACGCAGGGGCTCGGTGACTGGTAGCAGCTCTCATCATTCTCAGGGGATGGACGGGTTTGATAACATAAAGGCTAAACATTTATTGAGTGTTTAGCCACAATGCCACCACATTGCTCTGGCTGCTTTACATATAGTATCTCCTTCAACACCAGAAACAACCCATTTCCTTATTTTGCAGACAAGGAACAGAAGCATAGACGAGCCTAAATTTATTTGAGGCGGATTCAAACCCAGACCCTCTCCATCCTCATACAAATCAGCTCTGCAGGAATAGTGGTTGATTGGTAGTGATAGCTCAGAGTCTTTTCCAAGTCCTTTCCGTGCTTGGAAAACTCTTATTTATCCTACAAAACCCAGCTCAAATGTCCTTTTCTGGAAAGCCTTTTCTGGCAACAATCCTCTGGACCTCCAGAAACTTCAGCATGTATCCCGGGCACAGAGGGAGTATCGGTTGACAACTTTCCCCCCCACCCCCAAAGGAATGGGGCAGGAATTTTTTTCTTAGCCTCATCCTTTCTACCCACCAAATGTTCTGCTTGGGCATTCGCTCTGGTCTCCTGTGGGGCTCTGCAGGGTCCCAGGGCACCTGACTCTAGTTTCCCAGGAGCTGCTAAGTCACATCACTTCAAGAGTGCTGATGCCTCACATCTTCCTGGTGTCTTGCCAGCCCCCATCCTTGCCTGGTGCCCATTAAGGGAAAGGAATTCATGCCTACGGAGCCTGCAGCGGGCCAGGCCCTGGGCTGGGTTCTTCCTGCACTTTAGCTCCTATACACATCGCTGTGAGAAAGTATATCGTTAGACACCAGTGCCAACCAGCAAGGTGACTGTCAGAATCCAGATGGTGAGCAGGGCTCCTGGACCCGGACACAGCTGGAATCAGAGACACAAATTATCCCAGGACCGCCGACTCTCTCTCTCCTGCCTGTCTCTCTACAGCAGTGGTTCTCAGCCTTCTGGCCCTTTAAATACAGTTCCTCATGTTGTGACCCAACCATAAAATTATTTTCGTCGCTACTTCATAACTGTAATGCTGCTACTGTTATGAGTCGTAATGTAAATATCTGATATGCAGGATGGTCTTAGGCGACCCCTGTGAAAGGGTCGTTCGACCGCCAAAGGGGTCGCGACCCACAGGTTGAGAACCGCTGCTCTACAGACTAACTCTGCCCTGAGGAAGGACGTGTGGCCTCCTGAGCGTCTCAGCCCACAGCCATGTTCTCAGTTCTGATTCAAAACAAAACTGAACAGAACAGGGCGGTTCCTGATTGGCCTGTCCCTAATTAGGTGTGCGCCTGTCATGGAAGCCATGACAGCCTTTGCTGAATTGGTGTTTGGGGGCAGGGGGGGTCCCCAAAGAAGGAGAGGGCCGCTATTCCAGGTGGAAGAAGGAATAGTGAACAGATGACAGAAATAGGCCCACAGCAGCCAGGGATGACCACCATGGGACAGGCAGGGAGATCAAGGCTCAGGAATGCTGTGACTCTATGGGGGGGCGGGGGGGGACGGTAACACAGACTACATTGCGTTCCACTGAATTTGTGGATTAAACCAGAGAGATACCCTTTACAGGCCAAAGAGTGAGGGATTCCTCCTCAGCGTCTCCCTGAGGATTCACTTCTGAGCTCTAGGAGGTAACTTCTCTAGAATTCCATCCACGCAGCGAGAACTCTGTGGCTCTGACACTGACACCCAAGGCGGTCTTCCCCACGAAAAGCGAAGCCGGCAGACACAGGAGCTGTTCGCTGGGAGACGGGAGGAATGAGAGAATGAATGGGTGCACACGGGCAGGGCCTCGCGGTGCTGTCCACCGTGGCAGCAGGGCCCCCTGGCGGCTGACGCCCTCACCTGCCTCAGCCCAGAGAAGCCGTGGAGAGAAGGGGCCTGTGCAGTCCCAGAGCCCAGCAGCTGCTGTAGACTGTGTCTTGCATACATTCCTGGTGAGTCCTCATAACGGCTCCGTGAGGCCCGGACACTGACCCAGGGGACAAAGCAGGAAGGGGCAGAACTGGTTGGAGCTCTCAGTCTGTGGAATCCAGAGGCCGGCTCGTGGCCATGGCCCCCACCTCGCACTCCCCACCCCGATGCTGTGCCCCAGCCTGGCCAGGAGAGGGCCCCAGTTAGGCATTAA